TAATGACCAAGGAAGATCTAAGAAACTAGACTCCTTTTTAGAAAAGAATAACTCACATTGAGATAATAAAATTTGAATATGGGATCACGTAAAAAATAATTAGTCTACTTATATCTCATCATTTACAGAATTGAAGCAGTAGGATAGGATTTCAACGTGTAGATTTTTTAACTCATGCAAATAAATGAGGATTTTAGTATTAAAGACCTTTATCAAATCGCCAAGCACAAAAAGTACAACTATAAGCTTGAAAATCCACAAGCAGTAGAATTTTAGAATTGATTTTGCGGGAGGGTAGACACTGAAGTGTATATAATCTATAAGATATCACTGATATATTAAATTTTCCATGAACTGCTAATGTATTTTGCACATATAATTCTCATTAAGTTTTAATACTCCCTCCGTTCCTAAATATTTGTTTTTCTAGGCATTTCAACAAGTGACTACATACGGAGCAAAGTGAGTGAATCTACACTCTAAAATATGTCTACATACATCCGTATGTAGTAGTCATTTGAAATGTCTAGAAAGACAAATATTTAGGAACGGAGGGAGTATATGACAAAAGAATCTCGTTGCAACGCAGGGCATATGTGATATCTCCCCGAGGCGTGATAAAAAAGATCAAAGATCAAGAAACCACACAGACATTAGTCAGAATATGTAAGCCATTTGTCCGGGGATTACGATTGGTCTAATTAATCACACATCTTATACTGTACAAAAATAAGAGTGTACGAGTTATTTTTTTTTCCCGTTGCAACGCACGGGCAATTTTCCTAGTAACATTATAAAATCTCTACTATTAAAGGGGGATCGAACGTCATGATGGTTCGACCTCCAGCACCCCCACCCCATCGACACGCGGTAAAAAAATCGCTCGATCCCGCACGCACGAGAAACCCGGAAAATCAGCCCACGCTCCCACCCCATCGTCGCTAAAAAAGAATAAACTTCCGCCCACAAACACGTCCCGCCCCCACCTCTCCCCAACCCCTCGCTCACGATCTCGTCTCTCTCCTGCCAAAAATCGTCGCGGACACAGAGAGGAAGGAGCCCAGCGGAGGCGCCGAGGAGGAGGGGGTCGCCTCGCTCGCTTCTGCTGATGACGATCATGCCCACCGCCAACCCTCACCGTCGTCGCTGCCGTGGCGGATGCGGCGAGCCCCAAGCCGTGGGAACACCGGACGCGGCCACCCCGCCGTCGACACTGCCGCAGGGACAGGAAGGGCAGGGCTGCGGGCGCCAATGCCGGCGCTGGCGGGGCCTGCGAGGAGAGCGCCCGCCCTGAACCCGACCCCCACCCCCAGGAGAGCTCCAGTTCCACCTCCCTGTAATCTGCTCCTAAGTCCTAACGACATGGCTTATTGCAGGTGGAGGTGGAGTACGCGCCGGAGAAGCCCGACCTCAGTGCCGACGACCCCCTCCTGCCATCACGGGCGACCCTGTACAACCCCAAGACCAACTACACCTTGCCGAGGCCGCGGTTCCTCCATTACAAGCCTGACCCCCTCGGCGCTGGCGTCAGGCGCCTCGAGGACGGCTTCGCCTCCGCCTCCGAGAGGAGCGACGAAACCGACGCCAGTGCCACCACGGAGGACGACCTCACGTACGAAGGAGGAACAAGAGCAACCACAGCAAAATCACCTGCCAGTGGAGCAGTCAGCTCTCATCGCTCCATCTGAGGCTGCTGAGGCTTCCGTCCTGGCGCCAGAGCCCGCGTCTGTTCGCTGTGGCCCCCTCTGCTGTCATCGGAGGTTGCTGCGGTGAAGCCAGAGCCGGCTTGCGTCTCTACACCGGAGCCTAGGGCGACTCCTCCGCGAGCTCGTGCACTGACACCGGAGCCGGAGCTTGGGGTGCGAGCTCCAGTGAAGAAGGGATCCGCGTTGAGGTTCCTACTTCCCCTTGTTTTCGTTCTGTTCATGTCTCCTGCTTGCGTGTGCGTGCTGCTGCAGAGCCGGAAGGTGATGTTGTGGTGGAAGAAGAACCAGTTGATGATGTCGGAGTGGGAGAAAATCTGATGCATCAGGCTACTACGACATGGTAGTAGATAGCTTGATGTTGTAATGTCAGAAGAAGCTCCTGGTAGTGCCAGTGCCTTGGAGGAGCACTTGAATATCCAGGATGCAGTTTCTGGCTCGATTGCAGAATCAGAGGGTGTTGCTGCAGTGGTAGAAGAATCTGGTGCATCAGACTACTCCAAGGCAGTAGATGAGCTTGATGTTAGAGCATCAGAAGCAGCTCCAGGTATCAGCAATGGCGAAGAGATCAGTGAGGATTTGGACACCCCATCTCAACCTGCTGAGCAGCGTGAACAGGATGTTGAGAGTAGTGAGCCCGAGAACAATCACGGCAGTGGCAAGGAGGGCCAGGAGCCGCATCTTGGTCTTGAATCGGATTCGAGCGTGTCGATCGCCAGGCTACCTTGACAGAATCTCAAAGCCTGCAGCAGCAGGTGATGCCATTGTCGTGGTTATTCTTTCAGCCGGCATTGCTGCTCTCTCCATGAGGAATTGGCAAGCTCAGGTTTGATGCATGGTTGCAGATGGCTATCAAACTGTAAAATTATCAACCTTCAGCAAATGTAGATGTATTTTGTACGTTCAGGTTTGATGCATGATTTCAGCTGCATGTAGGTTTCGGTTTGTGTCCAAGACAAGTATATGTATACCAATATTGATTACTTTTTTTTAAATGGTTCCTGCTAAGGGCATGACAAGTGCGTGTGTATAAATTAGTATCATGTTGCCTGCACATTGAATTGTGTCATATTTTGATTCCTGTCAAAATGGCCATTGCTATTTGCTTTCTACACATCTTGTATGTTGCTTATGCTGATAATAATTTTATTTTTCTCAGGATTTGATTATTCTCTTCAAGGGTACATTAAGAGCATTTAAACTTCTCTGATAATCAAAGTGGCACATAGACTAATTTATTTTGGTACTGTACTGCCTTTTATGCATTCATTAGAGCTATTCCACAATTTTGTCCCCAATTATACCTTTTTACACTTTTATATGTGTAGCTTCTTTTAATTTTTTAAGACATTAATTTTTTTTGAAGTCTTCATGTGTGCAGAACTACTTCTGCGGTGAGCCGGCATTTGGTGAGCTTGACGAGTACTTCCTGAAGGTTGATGTCCGCTTCCGTTGGGTCACTGATCAAGGCCACATCTATGTGGAAAGCTGTTTTTTTTTTGTTAGATTGGCCATGAGACACTTGGATAGGAGAAACGAAACGGGAAGAGCATGAGAGATAGTGTTGAGAACCTAAATAGTGCACACACACATTTACATATTTCATGTGATGGTAGTATTATGTCGTAGTTTTCGTGTTGGTTGTGCTACTTAATGTTCCTATCAGTCATAACTTATCACATCGCTCTCAGTTTTCAAGCATGCTTGGAGCTTTGACATGCAACTATACAAAATCAGAAAGAATATCTAAGGCTCAAGGTAATCTTGAAACTTTAAGTTGATCAATTCATATGATTTTTGGCCTGTAAGAGATCAAACTAACTATTGCAGACATCATGGCTCTAAATTGTTAGTTTGTATTTGACCATGATGAAGGCAAGGTGCACGTAGAGCTTCTTTCTATTCTCAAGGAGGTCAGGAGTTCCTTTTAAGGAGGTAGAGGGCAACCTTGAACTCAAGCTGCTGCCCCTGCACAGAGAAGTGCTTTAACACAAGATGCTCCTCCCAGTCATTTGGCGGATACATAAATAACTTTTAATGAGAGTGACCTAAAGGTCAGTTGTTTTGAATTAAATATACCTCGTTTGCAAGTCTTTTTCTTTGGGTTTGGGAATGGTATATGCTGTAAAATGGGAGTCTATTTTTTCAGAATTTTTTTGTTCTTTTGTTTTTATACTCATCGGAGTTCATGTTTCTTTTCAGTTAGTTGTGAGGTACTTCTTAAGTTTCCATTCAACTAATTGACCACCAAAAAATAGATCAAAATAATATTTTGTCGATAGTATCATCAATGAAAATACAAGATTTTGAAGAGGGGCTTGCTCACGGCAGTGTGAAAAAAGGTGAAGGGAAAGAAAGGGTAATCAAGGTGAAAGAAACGATGTAAGGGAGGATAGGTTAAAGAGATACAATGATTGCCTAGGAAGAAAGAAGTGGGAGAGATATTGATTTGTTGGAATTGAAATCACGTCTTGTCATTTTGACGCACACTTTACTTAGAACAACTATTTGATTATTTATTTTTTGTTGATCCGTGGCAACGCACGGGCATTCAGCTAGTATGATTAGTGCTAAACATAGGAGGAACATTGGCCGTTGGTTAGGCTTCATGGACGGTGCAGATGGCTCGGATCTCCGCCCTTGGTGCTTTCATATCACAGGAAAGTAATAATATATATATTTTATAGAAGTTGTAGATAATGTGGAATGTTGAAAATCTGGACCTGGTGTAGGCGAGTGTGTCCATCCATAGCTTTGCTAGGCTGTGCTTGATCATGTTGTGTTAACTAGTTTAAATTTCGCTTTCTCCAATGGAAATCGATCAAAAAGGCTCGTTGTCAAACACAAATCTCCTTCCTGGCTAAAATCTTCATCAATCGAAAGAATTTACAGCGATTCCAGGTGAAAATCTACCTAAAGATTTGTTTCCCTACCAATCAAAACCTTCCATTTACGTGGATTTATAATCAAAACTTTCCATTTACTCCCGGATACGATCTCCGTCATTTATACTAGCGAAACGGCAGCACGCGAGAATTAATACTCGCTTCGGAATTCGAAACGAATTTCTCTCTGGCTTATCCTCTCCCCGGCCATTACTGCGCCAGATTACGTGCCATCATTAACCGCCGATTCGATTTTCTCCCGGAAATCTACATAAAGATTCGTTCCGTTTCTTTCTTCCTCACCAATCCACGAGGCGGGGCGAGAGAGAGAGCGAGCGAGAGAGGCGGTTGGCGCACGCCCTGTGGGTCGCTCCGCTTCGCTTCCAGTTCGTGCGCTTGGGGTGAGGGGGAGATGGCGAGCCGAGGGGGCCGCGGCGGCGGCCGGGCGAACCCCGACGCTGCCCAGGCCGGGTATGGCGGCCGCGGCGGCGCTGGTCGTGGGCGTGTTGATGGTGGTGGCCGTGGCCGCGGGTACTACCAAGGGGATGGGGGCGGTGATGGTGGTGGCCGTGGCCGTGGTTACTACCAAGGAGACGGTGGCGGGGGTCGTGGGTACTACCAGGGTGGCGGTGATGGCGGCGGGAGAGGGCGTGGGTACTA